CCTCCAGCAGCCCCATTCCCAGCACTCGGAGACCGGGATCCATACCTCAAACTCCTGGGTGCCGGCGATCAGGTGACATGAAATAATTAGCTGACACAGGTGGGAGGGGCACATTAAGTCCAGAATTTATAGCCTGGTTCACACACCATAATTAAACATGGAATCACATCCTCTCCTCCAAAATGAGTTTGACACCGCTAATGCAATGTAACGGCATGTGTTCTCATTATCCATGACATTAAAAGGCAACACATTTAAAACTAATAAAAGGAAATACTTTTTTAAAAACACACAATGAATAATTAACCTGAAAGAGGGAAAAGCAATGTGGTATAACAATTCAGGTGAGTTAAAGATCCAATATCTCATGTCACAGGACAGAACCTTTTGGCAGCAGCAATGCTTACAAGACAAGTGCAATTTTCTAAGTTCTGTTTCTGGACCAGTGATCTGAAAGAAAATAAAAATTCCTTGGTTCAATAAGTTTCTCCAGGGGTAAGAAATTCAGATTGGGCTCGTTCTTGTCTCGGATCATTCCGCACAAGATCCTGATACACAGGCAGAAAACACAAAACCCTGAGGTCAGCTCAGTGGTTACAAGCCAGGACTGGCCATAATAGTATTCTGATACAGACAGCAGCTCAAATGCTAGACTAGTAGGGAGAAAAAAGCGAGGATGGCCAGGTTGTACTATTGAGTGCTGGGAAGGAGCTTTTGTGCTATGTGAGAAGTACTAAAGAACCTGACTATATCACAATCCAGGGCATGCTAGAATAGAAGATTATATTACCTAATCTGAACAAGTCCTCAAAATGCTATGGACAGTGAGGGCTGGTCCACACTGGGGCGGGGGATCGATCTAGGAAACGCAACTTCAGCTACGAGAATAGCGTAGCTGAAGTCGACGTTTCCTAGATCGAACTAAGTTTACTTACTGTGGGTCCACGTGGCGCAGGCAAGCTCCCCCGTCGACAGCACTTCCTCCTCTCGGCGAGCAGGAGTTCTGCAGTCGATGGGGGAGCGCTTCTGGGATCGATTTATCGCGTCCAGATGAGATGCGATAAATCGATCCCAGAAGATCGATCTCTACCCGCCGAATCGGGCGGGTAGTGTGGACCTAGCCTGAGAGACTTTTCAGGATTACCCAGAGTGTCCAGGATGAATCACTACCACCTGCTTACAACGTGAATGCCTTGTCTGAGCCCACCAGGGGAAACCCTCCCCAACTACCGACAGCAAGCAACACAAGTGCTCTCCTCTAGGCAGGGGTGCTGAGAGCCATTGAACCAAACTGTAAACTCTGTATATGATGGAAACCACTTCAAGCCAGGGGGTGCGACAGCACCCCTAGTTCCAGCACTTATGGCTCTGCAAGCCCCGTTCTCTCTCCCTGCAGGCTAGCAATTTACTCACCCCCCTTTGTTACCCTCAGGTGCCAGTCCTTTCTCTTCTGGAGAACCCACAATGTACAGTGATCCGCTGCCTCCATAGAAACAGTGTACCCCAGTTCACTGGTTTCACCTCAGTTCAGCACCTTAACATGAGGCTCTTAGACAGATTTATTGTAAAACCAAATTGAAGTTTATCTTTATTGAGATAAAGATTTAAATCAAAGCAAGTATTAGGGTTTGGAAACATACAGTTACAGGTAAAAGAAAACATAAGAGGCAAACTATAGCCTATACTTATTAACAAGTTACTTTCTTATCTACTTTCCTGTACTCTCACCCAAAGGTCAGTCCTTGCAGCAGTGGCCTTCTAGTTTCAAGAGCTGGAATCCATCTTTCATGAGACATCCCTGCTGGCAGAGTTCCTCCTCCATAATGGATAAAACCTTGTGCCCTTTCCAATTCTCTAACACAGTTGCAGACCATTGTTTCTTACCTCAGGGGAGCCCCTATTCAGACACTTTTCTTGGGGTTCTTTTGTTTTTGTAAATCCTCAAGCCTTCACCCGGCTCAGACAGTAAACGCAGACTGTCTCCTCAGATGTTCATTGTTCTCGGCATTGACTGAGAAATCTCAAAGACCCCGCCAGGGCCTCGCCTCAGGTGACAAGTCTGACTTTCAACAGCTTTAAACCCAATAGTCTACATATTTCTTAAACTACTTCCCGTACAAACAACTTGCAATAACCCTAACAGTCAGCTAGTCCTTAGCTTTCAGCAGAGATTGCATATGACCCCCTTTGGCGAAATATTGAGAAGATGGCTGGACACGGGTAATAATACACATGCCTGGGCACGTCTATGTCACAGAAGGCCAAGGCCATATCCTGGGCTGTCACTATGGACAGGAGGTTGATTATTGATATAACAATTAGATCTATGAAAGGGGATGGAGACATAACCCATGGGCTCTAGCACTTCCCACCCAGCTTTTGTTGAGATCTTAATCTTTGTAGACTGGGTTAGGGGAGGCACAAAATGGGATTTATAATGGCAAAGGTCTTTCATTAGCAGCCCTTTGATAAATTGCATTATTATGTACCTTTCACTGCCTTCTCTGTCCACTAATCCATCTCCCCAGGGATGATTACTGACATTCCATACCACAGCAATTGCAATTTATTGCAAACAACCTGCTCCAGAAATATTTCCTTCTTTCCCTCAAATGTGGAATTTCTTCCCAAGATTACTAGTGTGAGTTGTGGGATGAACAACATTAATTTATGGACCAATGACTGATTTACAATTGAATATCACATGACCCATCAGGGCAGGAAGCAGGAACTTCGCATCAAGAATCCCCTTTCTACTGGCATATCAGCCTTCTATTCGCTCTAGCATGTGGGAGCTATTGTTCAAACTTTCCCACCAAGGCCTGTACAGTTGAACTCGTGGTACTAAGGAAGCTCGACTTTACCCTCATCGTGTCTGAGCACCTCACCATCATTCATGATTTCTTAATCTCAAAAGAGCCCAGGAGGTAGGGAAGTAGCATTATCACCTTTTTACAGATGGGGAACGGAGATGGAGAAATTAAGAGACTTGTACAAGTTACACAAGAAACCTGTGCCTGAGACAAGATTTGAACTACGGTCTCCTGCGTCCCAGTCTAGTACCCTATCTACTAAGACATCCTTCCTACAGGAGAATTACTACATAAAGTGCTCCCACTGGAGGGTGAAAATAATCCTGTCTCCATTGAAGGTTTGTCATTGACTTAAATGGGGCCAGGATTTTACTCATTAAAAATAATAAAACCCTCAGACTTTTCCAGACTAGTTTTCTGCAAGAAGCGGGTCATATGCAGAAAAATGTGATGCGGTATAAAGGTTTTACTGAAACTTGTTTGAAAGGAGCTGTGTAATTCAAGCATGACTTCACCACTTGTGAGAAACATGGTCATCACAAATTCATGCTGATATAACCTCTCTCTGGCAGAATCTGCCCTGTTCATCTCTCACCAAAAGATAGCAGAGGGGTCAGAACAGTTAAGAAAAAGGGTTTTTTATTTAAAAGAAGTTAAATACAACTAAAATCTAGCACCAGGTAGAAACATGAATGCTGAACAGAAACAGCCAAGAACATTTAAAAATCAACAGTAATAATTAACCCTCAAATAATACACCTCTACCTCAATATAACGCTGTCCTCGGGAGCCAAAAAATCTTTCCGCGTTATAGGTGAAACTGCATTATATTGAACTTGCTTTGATCCACCGGAGTGCGCAGCCCCGCCCCCCCGGAGCACTGCTTTACCGCATTATATGCAAATTAGTGTTATATCGGGTCGTGTTATATTGGGGTAGAGGTGTAGCTTACATTTTCAAAGCATTTTACAAACATTAATGAATTAAGCCTCAACATCCCTGTGAGGTAGGTAAGTATTATTAGCCCCATTTTACAGATGGGAAACTGAGGCACAGATAAGTTATGTGACTTTTTCAAGGCCACACAGCAAGTCAGTGTCAGAGCCAGGATTAGCGCTCTGGGGCTCCTGGCTTCTAATTATGTGCACAGATGCCTAGAAAATACTGCTTCTCTGAAAACGCCTTTTCTTCCCTCCACGTCCTCTGTAAGACAGTTGACCCCATTTCAGAGTGATGTGAAAGGGTGCTTGCCAAAAGCTATTCATCAGAGTGTCTACACAGGAAGATTGTATTGGGAAGTAACATTTTTATAGACACATGCTGTGTGTCTGAAAGGTGTTTTGTTTTGTTTTGAAATAGATTTCTGATCATTCGTGCTCCCACACTGACAGAGTCACTTTTCCTCAAGATGCAGCAGCAGCCATCAGAAGGCTGAGAGACCTGTCTGCAATTCTGACACAGTTCTCAGTAAGACAGAAGTGCTGTTTCTTCACATTGGAATCCCGTCCATGAAACAGGAATGTCTCTTTAGGGAAGGTGTAGCGGGATGATCATCCCGCTCCGGCCCTGGAAGTGTACAAGCAGCTCTGGGGAGGGCTGCAGTGGTAAAAGCAGCCCTGGGGAGGGCTGCAGCTCTGAAAGCGGGGCTAATTGGGAAAGCAGCCACAGCTGTAGCTGGCTTAATGAGGGCCCAGCTGGCCCTTATAAGAGGCCAGTGGGCCAGGAGCAAGCAGTCTCTCTCTAGCTGAGGAGGGAGATGGACCTAGCTGCCTGAGTGCTAAAGGGTACTGGAGTGAAGCAGGGCTGGGGAAAGGCCAGAGGAGCTGTGGAGCTCTGGGCCAGCAACTCCCCAGCTGCAGGGCCTTGTACAAGGCCTCTGGAGGTACTGGGTTGCAGGGAAAGGCAGCAAGTCTAAACCTCCCTTGCCTATGATGACTGGCTTATACTGAAGAGCTAATTCCCGAGAAAACCAGCAGGAGGCGCCGCAGGGGTGAGTCCCTGCATCATTACAGAAGGTTTCCTCCGAGAAAAGCTAACCCGGGTGCAGATGGCCTGCACCGAAAGCAAGGGGTGGGGGTGGAATTGTGGATTAATTTGGAGGAGAAACCATGGGATGAAGGGGATCAGTCCACAGTAGTGCTTGGAAACAACAAACAGGTTCATATCCCAAACAGGTTCATATCCATGGTGCTTAGGTGGACGAACTGGATGCAACACACCTCTCAGGGGATGCTGGTCATCACAAATTCATGCTGATATAACCTCTCTCTGGCAGAATCTGCCCTGTTCATTTCTCCCCAAAGATGGCAGAGGGGTCAGAACAGTTAGGAAAGTGTCAATTTTTGTACGGTCACTTTGAGCAGAGGAGAAGTCTCCTTAGCACATCCACTGTGGATTGAAACAGTCTAATAAAAGTGGAGGGGCTTATGTCTGCATACATGAAGGCCCCATCTCTGTAGAACAAGATGGTGAAGAACCAAGCAGCTCCATTCAGACTAGGGTTAAAAATTCCAAACCACCTTTTAACATTGAAGTCACATGATTTAACCATTGGTAGTGTTGTTGAGTCCCAGCAGAGCCACTGCTGACAACGGGAGTCTCCCTGGGCCATCCTGCACCCAGGAGCTTGCAGTTCCAACCGGGAGATGAAAGTCAAATAGTCCTTCCAGTCGCTGTCTGGAGTCACTTTCACGACAGCTCGATCCGAAGGTCCTCCCCATATTTTCGAATCAGCTTCCCATGATTGTGGTTGACTGACCACCGCTTTGGGAGATGCTTCGGTTGCATGGTGTCCAGAAAGTGCTGCCGCCAGCGCCTCTCCAGCTCCATGAGTGAGCGCAGCCCCCCTTTGGCGAAGCACTGCACCACCTTCAGCCCATGCGGCATGTAGCTCTCATTACAAATCCTGCCAAGACACAAGGGGGGTTGGTTTCACGCAAGCCCATTATGGGACTCTCGGTCTCCCAAAGCTCCCAATACCGTGATGTGCTGGGCACCCTCACACCCAAAGCACTTGACAAACACAAGGCTCAACTAGGCAGGCTGGGCCAACAGAGTTGTCCACCCGACTACTCCCCACACCCTGAGAGACTGTAAGCGTCTCACTGCAGGAAACACGTAATCTATAGCCCCAATCTCACAGGTGTATCGGTGCTGGGGGTTCCCTGTGCCTGCATGGAGCTCTGCAGCACTGTGTTTGTAACGCGCTGTGTAAACACCCAGTTTGTTAAACTCTGGCCCTGGTTTTACAGGGAGATTAAAATAACAGGAGGTATTTTTAAAGGAGCTTGGGGGGAAAAATAGGCCTATTACTTAGCTCTACCAATGCTGCTGGGATTTTTGTTGCTGTTGTACTATTTATGTATCAGGGCACCTAGGGCCTTGGCGCGGTGTCTTTTTCTGTAACTGAAGTCTAAATACATAAATATACATATGCGCACACACAGATGGCTGAAACACTAGACCTAGTCACTGGGCTCTTGTAATACCTGGTTTCCAGGCCTGCTGCTTCCTGGAGCATCTCTGATGTAATGGTCTCTGTGTTAAAGAAGTCCTTGATTCCTTGCAGCAGCTCCTCCCTCCTGGTGTCAGGCAGGCTGTCTGCATTCAGCAAAGCCCTGGCCCCTGACCGGACCTGCCTTCGCAGGGGGTCCTCCAGCAGGCGCACCCCTTCCTCGCAGCCAATGGGGGCACCGAACTCCTCAGCCAGCCGCTGCTTGAGATGATTGTCGTAGTAATTGGAGATGGCATGGCAGGAAGTGCAAAGCAGCAGAACATCATGGGAGTTGTGGTCCTTCATCTGGATGGGGAAGTGTCTCCTGTACTCATGAGGTACAATGTTCTTCCTGGGAAGGAAACAGCAACAGTCTTAACTAAGATTTCAGACGGCTGCTGCCATCAACTACAACTTACACGCCTGATGGAAGACTGATATAGAAAAGGAACCATCCCAGAAGCTGGAGCTTTCCACATTTGGTCTTAGCCCAGGGGTGCTTTTGTAAAGACTGAGGATAATCTTGGTTATTTTTGAGTTGGGGGAAAATCCACTCTTTTAAAGTTATTTTTTTAAAAAGTCAGAAAAACGCCTGTAAAGATAGCATTGGATCAGTTCTCTATGTGTACTCCATGGCCAATCTGATGACCTTAGTGACAGAAATGTATTTTTGCTTTCTACTAATGTTAACCCTACAGAGACATCACTAGATTCTGTCCTGGCCAGTGCATCAAAAGAATTCCTAACAAAATCCCCAATCCTGCATGTACTTATGCATATGTTTAACGATACTCCTAGGAGTAGTCCTATTAACCTCAAAGGGACTGCTCATGTGTGAAGTAAGGCAGATGCCTCAGTGCTTGCAGGACTGGGCCCAATTCCAAATGTAGGACCAATTTCTACCCTCAGCTACACTGTGCATCCCCAGAGGGCACAAAGGAATTGCACAGGTGTAACTAACTGCAAAATATGGCCTACAGTATCTTTATTACTCGTGATAATGAACAAGAAAGAAGCAGCCCAGCTTGACCTTCAGATCTCAGCATGAGTCTTGCAGGCAGGGCAATTAGAAAAAACTCCTTTTTAACCTAGGTATGTTTTCTCTGGAAGCTACTGAGAGATAATCAACAGGGAACCCTGTGTAAGAAGTCAAAGAAATTTGGGCCTTGCTTTTAGATACATTTAGATAAAAAATGTTGCGACTACTCAAAGAAAGCCAAACCTCCATTCCACCTAAATGCTCCCTTTCCTAGTCCCTGTCTTCCCTCCCTTTCCTAGTTACGTGTCTTCTCCTATTTTACTTCTCTAACCCCCACCCTAATGTGTTAGGTCTATGTCTTGAAGATTTGACGACTAGTAAGATTGCAGAATTCTACGGGCAATCCCATAAAGCATGCAGTATATTGAAACATATACAAGCTGTAAGTCAATTATCTTTCTGTTGTTTGTTTTCTTCATGTAAAAATCAATGAAAATTAATCACAACCCACCCCACAACCCAAAATGACCCCACAGTGCCATTTTAGAGGTATTTTTCAGAGCTGATTCATAGTTAAAGACAAAAATGTGTACGTTCATAAGAACATAAGAATGGCCATACTGGGTCATTTTAGTATCACGAAAATGTCTAATCAAAACCTTCATCTGTGGCATGTTACCCTCAATGAGGGCTTCAGGGGTGGAATGAAATTTTATAGTTATGAGCAACTGCAAAATCACTACTGAGCACACCAAGGGTATGTCTACACTGCCCACATTACAGCGCAGCAGCACTGTGACATGGGCAGTGTACTCACGCTTTATCGCGCTCTCCCGGTGATAAAAAATAACTGCCCTGAACGAGCGGTGGTAGCTTTATCGACGGGAGCGTAGCTCCTGGCAATAAAGTGCTGTCTATACTGGCGCTTTTCAGCGCTAAAACTTTTGTCGCTCAGGGGGGTGTTTTTTCACACCCCTGAATCACTAAAGTTTTAGCCCTGAAAGTGGCAGTGTAGACACAGCCTTAGTAGACATATGAGCATTTTTATCACGCTGATGAAGCCCTGGGCTCTCATATGACATCTGAAGGGATGAAAAGAACTGAGCGTGCGCCCTGCTTGGCCTAGACTCGGGGGGCTTCAAGAGACAGGAAAGGCTACTGGGAAAGTTTGCAACAAGATTGTACAGGCCTTTGTAAAAACATTCCAACATTCTTTCCCAGAAAATCTATGAAGAAAGCACCCTTAACCCAGAAGAAATCTGCAGCCAGACAGCCCAATGGTCACACAAAGGGTTTTAGATTCTCTCCACAGTTTCTGATGCATTTGGATGAATTTTTCAGAAATTGGAAGCTTTCATTTAACAATAAATATGTCTGTCTTTTTCTGCTACAGAGGCACAGCTGTCGCACTATAAAGTGACCATGCTGCTGGTCAGTTCATGTAGCCTTGCAGGACACTTCTCCTAGCTAAACAATAGCAGCTGTAAAGACTAGAACTCACCCTCCTCCACACCAATTAGCTTTATGGATATGTAGGTGTCACAGCTCACCTGGGCCATTTAAATGCTAACAACAGGATTAAATACAGAAAAGTGTGACAGTCAGGGTCCGGACACCAACAGGGAAAACAGATGGTTTAAATCCCCCAAATGATCAGTTAAACCAAATGATTGCATACCGTATTATTGTACTATAAAAGTATAATGAATAAGGTCTTTTATGAAAGCTTGTAATATTCTGAACTTGATGGTCATTATGAGATGTGTGTACAGACTGTGGTTATGGAGCTATGTATTTGTGAATATAGAAAACTGTGTTAATAATCCATACTACAGCTTCAACGACACCTCCCAGCGGGGGCTAAGCAGTGAAGCAAGGAGGGGCACCGCCCAAACCGGACGTTTACATGAAACTGGCTTCAAGTAATGATACATGGTCCAGCCCAGGAAAGACAATGATGGGCCATTAGAGTTAACGAAAGACATTGAGACATCTGGGCTATCAAGTCAAGAGGGAATTTCCCCGCTCTGAATAAACATGAGTCACCAGAGACAGGAACAAACAAACCAAAAAAAAAAAGAAAGGAAAAAGCCTTTAAAAACGGGCTTGGGACTCAGGTTTTTTATCCACACCTTGAGGGACAGTCTTGTGGTGAGACGCTCTCCATGAACGCTGGATCCCACCTCTAGCTAGTGGGTATGCAGAGAAACTGTCTTATGGCAAAAGGTAACTTATATTATAAAAGGGATTTTATCTAATATGGAAGAGTAAAAGTCTGAGCTAGTTTTTATGTTTATGTTTATTTGCTGTGTAACCTGTATAGGCTTGCTTTCCCTTATTCTTATCTTTGAATCTGGGGTTTTGCTATTAAATAAACCTTTTGTTTATTTTTACCCCAAGCAAGTCTCTCGCATGCAAGCTGTGGGGAACGTGCATACCAAAGTAGTTGGTATCCAGGGGGCTGGTTTTACACCTTCTCAGGTGACAAACTGAAAAATCAGAGTATCTGGTAGTTAAGAACTCGGGAAGTACAGATTTGGGGAGACTCGGAACTGGAAGGGCTGTTGGTGTCACACTCCAAGGAGTGACTAGACTGGTGAGAGCATGCACTTGTGGGCTGGCTACTGGTGTCATGGATCTGAACCACAGCTGCACAGCACGAAGGCCTCCAAAGTTAAAGGGCGGGCAGTGACAGAACCCCTTACTGGTCTTGGTTGTTCCCAAAACGTCACAGAGGGTTTTTTATTCTCTTTCATTGAGAAAAAAGTTAAACTGGGGAGGTATGTGTACCACTAGCCTGTACAGGCTGGACTGCAGTCTGCACTCTGTGTTTGAACACAGCTTGTTCTCTAGTGAGAGTAAACACAACTGCTCTCTACTGGAAGGAATGTCAACCTCTCTCGCATGTGAAACTTGTCCAGAGACATACGATTAAGGCTGCGAGTCTGTCACGGATTCCATGACTTCTGCAGAGGCCAGTGTGGCTGGTTCCGGGGCTTCCTGAGCAGCTTGGGCAGCCCCTGGGCCAGCCGCACCGGCCACTGCTGGGGCAGTCTTGGGCCACCGCGCCCCCCTCCCTTCCCGCCCCAGCAGCAGCAGTAGTTTGGGTGTGAGAGGGGGCTCAGAGCTGGAGCAGAGGTTTAGGGTGGGAGGCAGCTCTTACCTCGGGGGGCTCCCCATAAGCGGCTGACATGTCCCTGCAGTTCCTAGGTGGAGGAACCAGGGGGCTCCGCACGCTGCCCCTGCCTGTGCGTTCCCAGCCAATGGGAGCTGCGGAGCCAGCGCTTGTGGTGGGGGCAGCGCACAGAGCCCCCCTGGCCTTCCCTCCCCCTAGGAGCTGCAGGGACATGCCGGCTGGTTCCGGGGAGCTGCGCAGAGCCAGATAGGGAGCCTGCCAGCCCTCCTCCCCCCCCCACCCCCCCCAAGGGCACCCCCCGGCCCCCCGGCCCACCCTCTCCCCCCCCCCCCCCCATGGAGCACCCGCGGTGCTCCAGCCCACCCTCTCCTCCCCTCCCCCCATGGAGCGCCCGCGGCGCCCCGGCCCTCCCCCTCTTCTCTTCCCCTCCCGCGGTGCACCCGTGGCACCCCACCCTCCCCTAGAGCACCTGCGGTGCCCTGGCCCAAGTTTTAGTTAGGGATACATAGTACAAGTCATGGACAGGTCACAGGCCGTGAATTTTTGTTTATTGACCTGTCCATGACTTTTACTAAAAATACCCGTGACTAAAACGTAGCCCTTACATATGATCATGTGGTCCTCGAATGGCTACGGCCTACCCGAGATATACACCCTGAATTCTACACAAGCATGACTGTGTCCCAGTTTACCTCCCACTGGTAAATAACACAAAGTTCCTTATGGTAGAGACTGAACTTAATCAGGGTCTAGGTCTTACTCTACCAGATGTATTTTTCTTCCCTGCAGTGTGTAAAAACTCACCGGATGTAGGACTCTCTCTTGCCACACACCACACACAGGTTCTCCTTGACTGTCAGATAGTAATCAACTTGTGACTCAGGACGTCCTGAGGGCTCGAACTGCAGCTTCACAACAAATGGATCTGTGCTCACCAACTCTGGAAGGGTGGAGGCAGAGAGGGAGGCCTTTAACAGTTGCATGTGGAAAGCTAAATGAATTATGCACAAAGTCAGGGGACACATCCTGTTTATTCCTTCCCCCAACATCTCCAGTAATTGGATCTCTGTTCAGACCTGGGCCCCTTCTCAAAAGTATCATTTCTCACCCAACAATATCATGGCAAAGAAAAGATCTCTTTCCTAGATACAGACTAATATGAGGACTGGCATACGTACCTCCAATGCCCTTGTCCAGGTACCACTGGGCCTTTTTGCGATCACAAGTGCACAGAGGCTGTCCATCTGGTGCATGCAGGAAGCAGTTATCATACAGGGGAGATTTTCTGTGAAACAGGGTGAACATCATGACAATTAAAATAAACAGGACCCCAGAAACTGAGCTCTATGTACCTACATACAAGTCAGACCAGTGCCCCCAGGAGTACACACACTTCTAGCCCTCAGCAACATGTATTTATGGGCCAAGCACTATACTGGCAGATCAGGCTGTCACCGAGGGCAACAAAATCCTTAGTGACTGACTGTTCTGGCTACAACTACTGGCTACAACTACTGGCTGTTTCCCAGATCAGCAGCTGGGAACTTTGAACCCTCTGTTGAGCTATCATTGACGATAGGCTTGCTTACATTTCAGAATTAAAAGTGAGCAACTCTCAACGGTGAAAAGTAACCTATATGTTTAAAATCTGGTTTGGATGCTCTCCGGTGTTTTCAGCAATACAGGGAAGGAATTATTTTTTCCAAACAATATCTTTACTTTGACAGCACCCCTTTAACAAAACTAAATGCCTGAGGAGGAAGATGTGCTGCATCTTCCAGCCAGGAGGCCCTGAGCAGAACTGTGGCAACAAAGCTAGATAATTGCTCAGGAGCAGGGATGAACATAAGAACATAAGAACGGCCGTACCGGGTCAGACCAAATGCCCATCTAGCCCAGTATCCTGTCTACCGACAGTGGCCAATGCCAGGTGCCCCAGAGGGAGTGGACCAACAGGCAATGATCAAGTGATCTCTCTCCTGCCATCCATCTCCATCCTCTGACAAACAGAGGCTAGGGACACCATTCCTTACCCATCCTGGCTAATAGCCATTGATGGACTTAACCACCATGAATTTATCCAGTTCTCTTTTAAATGCTGTTATAGTCCTAGCCTTCACAACCTCCTCAGGTAAGGAGTTCCACAAGTTGACTGTGCGCTGCGTGAAGAAGAACTTCCTTGTATTTGTTTTAAACCTGCTGCCTATTAATTTCATTTGGTGACCCCTAGTTCTTGTATTATGGGAATAAGTAAATAACTTTTCCTTATCCACTTTCTCCACATCACTCATGATTTTATATACCTCTATCATATCCCCTCTTAGTCTCCTCTTTTCCAAGCTGAAGAGTCCTAGCCTCTTTAATCTCTCCTCATATGGGACCCGTTCCAAACCCCTAATCATTTTAGTTGCCCTTTTCTGAACCTTTTCTAGTGCCAGTATATCTTTTTTCAGATGAGGAGACCACATCTGTACGCAGTATTTGAGATGTGGGCGTACCATCGATTTATATAAGGGCAATAATATATTCTCAGTCTTATTCTGTATCCCCTTTTTAATGATCCCTAACATCCTGTTTGCTTTTTTGATCGCCTCTGCACACTGCGCGCACATCTACAGAGAACTATCCACAATGACTCCAAGATCTTTTTCCTGACTTGTTGTAGCTAAATTAGCCCCCATCATATTGTATGTATAGTTGGGGTTATTTTTTCCAATGTGCATTACTTTACATTTATCCACATTAAATTTCATTTGCCATTTTGTTGCCCAATCCCTTAGTTTTGTGAGATCTTTTTGAAGCTCATCACAGTCTGCTTTGGTCTTAATTATCTTGAGCAGTTTAGTATCGTCTGCAAACTTTGCCACCTCACTGTTTACCCCTTTCTCCAGATCATTTATAAATAAGTTGAATAGGATTGGTCCGAGGACTGACCCTTGGGGAACACCACTAGTTACCCCTCTCCATTCTGAGAATTTACCATTAATTCCTACCCTTTGTTCCCGGTCTTTTAACCAGTTCTCAGTCCATGAAAGGACCTTCCGTTTTATCCCATGACAACTTACTTTACTTAAGAGCCTTTGGTGAGGGACCTTGTCAAAGGCTTTCTAGAAATCTAAGTACACTATGTCCACTGGATCCCCCTTGTCCACATGTTTGTTGACCCCTTCAAAGAACTCTAATAGATTAGTAAGACACCATTTCCCTTTACAGAAACCATGTTGACTATTGCTCAACAGTTTATGTTTTTCTATGTGTCTGACAATTTTATTCTTAACTATTGTTTCGACTAATTTGCCCGGTACCGACGTTAGACTTACCGGTCTGTAATTGCCGGGATCACCTCTAGAGCCCTTTTTAAATATTGGCGTTACATTAGCTAACTTCCAGTCATTGGGTACAGAAGCCAATTTAAAGGACAGGTTACAAACCTTAGTTAAGAGTTCCGCAACTTCACATTTGAGTTCTTTCAGAACTCTTGGGTGAATGCCATCTGGTCCCGGTGACTTGTTAATGTTAAATTTATCAATTAATTCCAAAACCTCCTCTAGTGACACTTCAATCTGTGACAGTTCCTCAGATTTGTCACCTACAAAAGCCGGCTCAGGTTTGGGAATCTCCCTAACATCCTCAGCCGTGAAGACTGAAGCAAGGAATCCATTTAGTTTCTCCGCAATTACTTTATCGTCTTTAAGCGCTCCTTTTGTATCTCGATCATCAAGGGCCCCACTGGTTGTTTAGCATGCTTCCTGCTTCTGATATACTTAAACATTTTATTACCACCTTTGGAGTTTTTGGCTAGCCGTTCTTCAAACTCCTCTTTGGCTTTTCTTATTACATTCTTGCACTTAATTTGGCAGCGTTTATGCTCCTTTCTATTTGCCTCACTAGGATTTGACTTCCACTTTTTAAAGGAAGTCTTTTTATCTCTCACTGCTTCTTTTACATGGTTGTTAAGCCACGGTGGCTCTTTTTTAGTTCTTTTACTGTGTTTCTTAATTTGGGGTATACATTGAAGTTGGGCCTCTATTATGGTGTCTTTGAAAAGTGTCCATGCAGCTTGCAGGGATTTCACTTTACTCACTGTACTTTTTAACTTCTGTTTAACTAACCCTCTGGACAGCTACTGTTGTAGTGCAAAGTGCTCCTTCCCCTACAAGCCTTACTCTATTCACCAGCACCAGTGTGATCACAGCAGTAAACATTCCCTGAGTTGAACTGCTATCGCAAGAAGTATCAGGCCAAGAACTCTTGCACAAATTTAAATTATTCAGTAATTCGTACCGTCTCTACAGTAGGGAATTTGACAAAAATATTTCCACCAGTGCATGGTGATAAAAAAAAACACAGGAAGATGCTGGGATTTGTCTATTCTAAGGCTCCTTCTAGTGATTATCAGCAGTTCAGGTGAACTGGTAGTAAGCACTGGTGGAAATTTTTTGTAGTAAAGACAACATTGTTTAGCCTGGCCAGCCAAGATAGAGGATACAGAAAATAAATGGAGAGGCAGATGTAATAGCTCAGTCAAAGGTGTCATCTGAGTGATTTATGGATCAAAATTTTTTTTTTCAAATGAAAACAAACATTCTCCTAGAAATCAGCAACAGAAAAAAATCTTTTGAATCACATCTAATCTAACCCTAGAGACCAGGGAAGGATTATTCCCTACAATATGTTCTCCAGCACTTTGTCTTGACTAGTTTTAAGTGTCTCTAATGAAGGAACTTCTTGTTTTAAAAAAATAAATAAATTATCAAATAGAGACGACAGCCTGGATTTAGCTTAGAATTCTGTTCGATCAGCTATTTAGTTTTTCCTAGGGGGCTGAGCCCTTCTTGGGCTGTTTGATGTTGGCTCAAAATGTTTCCTGGAAATATGAAGTGACCAGAGAAAATCACACGTAAGTAACAGAACACTGTTATTTCTATTTTAATTGTTAAAGAATACTAATGAATCAGTTTTCTGGCTCCATTAAATTATCTCCCCCACAGCTAACCTGAGAATCTTAAAGGAGAAAGTTAATGTTGAAATGTCTATTTTTCCTTTTCATTTGGCTATGACTGAAGTTGTTTAACTCCCCATATTTGTGTATATAAAATCTCTGATATAATCAAATTAAATTTAAAAACAGGCATATCAATTCTGCATCTCCCCTTGCTGGATTCAGATTAAGAAGGTTTATCTAACTTGTTTTAATTTAAAAACATTGTAAATAAAATAACTGAAGTTTCAGACAGTCAGATTCCATTGTTACATAAGAATTTAGGATTTGCCTGATCAGATCAGACCATTGGTTGAAGTCTCGTATCCTGCCTTCAGCAATAGTTAACAGCTGGTGCCTGCGAAGAAAACGACCCCTCAGTCTAGCATTATCCATCCTGCCTGGCCAACTGTGAAATGCTCTGCTTAGGTGCAGACCAGAGATTTGCCTTCCTGAGCTCTGAGGCAGTTAAGTTATACCTGATTATATCCCTATTTTAGAAAGCAGAATGGCAAATGTCATATTGCTCTGAGGTGCGCTCAGTGGGTTAGAACCTCTATAGTATCAGAATGATCTTGAGCTTTCTTTTATCCTTTGGTAAATGTATCTGACTCATTTTTTCCATCACTTATATCTTACATTTAACTCTCAGGGTTAGCTATTGAACACCAGCAATAGTGAATGTGCATAACCATAATGAGCAGGGCTGGAAGTATCAATCAAAATCCTGTCCTTGCAAATTTAGTTACGGTGCATACAGTAAAAAAGGCTCATGCAATTACCTTGCAGAATATCCCACACCAAGGGGCTTTCGCTTCTGTTTGCGGGGATCCTTCACTTGTTGATTTACTGGGGACTGGCCATTAGTTGCAGACTTCCGATTCCTTGGTTTCTGCTGGGAGTCCACCTCTCCATTTCCATCACCTCCTAGACTGCTGCTACTTCTTCCTCTGAATGGGACATCCATCAAGCCCTGGCACTTGCCCAGTACCTTTGCCCAAGCAACAACAGCATTTTCACCTCCAGATGCAGCAGGGATGAAGAAAAATCCCAGCAGATGGAGAAACAGAGCCATTGAGACCTGGGCATCCTTGGCAGCATAAGTGACCTGGGGAAAAGAGCCAGAGCTCTGTGTTACTGTGCAGAAGGAGGGCTAACGCCTTGTGAGGACCTGAGACAAGATCCCCCAACACAGCGAATGTGAAACATCATTTCTACGTAAAGAGGGAGCAGCATTTATTTGACTTAGGAACTTACACAGAGTTCCAGCACTGAGCGCTGAAGTAAGGGTCTGGGAGCCTCTAGTGTTCCCTACCTAGAACCACAGACCCTCCTCTTAATAATGCAACCTGAAGCCCTTCCAGTAATCTACAGTGTAGCCAGTTGACCCCTAGAGGGAGCCAGAAGGTATTATATTGTAGATTGCTACAGTCAATTTAAGAGTGAAGGACAAGCAGAGCTCAAAAGACAATATTTACACATGCTCACTGTAATCCTGTCCATTTTACACCACAGACTGACTGACTTCAAAGGTAGACACACCTTTTTATATTTACCTCCCTGCTCTCCAAAAGCTCAATGATAATCTGCTCATTATAGGCTCAGTCCTGAAGGGGCTAAGCACACAGGCTCTTGTCAAGCAAAGTCTTTGAGCATCTGCTTAAAGTTAAGCATGAGTGGTTCCATTCAAGTCTATGTGATTACTCATGTGCTTGAAGTTAAGCAGGTGCTCAAGGACTTTGCTGAATCAGGATGAGCGTGCTCAGCACCTTCAAGGCTCAATCTCCAAACCAGATACAGACCACTCACAAAACCCTCACAGATCAACAATCACCAGGTCCTTGGCGCTTGCCTATGAATAGAGATAATACTTGGCACTTCAATCCCCTTACATCCAAATATGTCAAACAGCTTTCCAAAGATTAAGCCTTGAACCCCCCCCCACCACCACCACCTCCAAGATAGGAAATTATCCCCATTTAAAGAGAGGGAAACTGAGGTGGAGAGAGATGAAACGTCTGGACCAGTCACACAATGAGCTTGTGGCAGAGCTGGAACAGACCTCAGATCTCTTGACTCCAAATCCTGTCCTTTAGCCACAAGACTATTCCTCCTCACAAAAGAATAACTACAATCAGAAGACACACCTGGTCTTGAGTCAGCTCTTCTGCCTCCCAGTTGCTGCAGCGCAAGCGAAGAGATTTGTCAAGTGGGCAGTTTAAGACGTTCTCAGCTAGAGATTTGAGGCTGAGTCCATTACAGAGCAGATCCTTCCTTCAGTTTAACAAACAAAAGCAAATAAATGGATAAAAGCACCAATCAAATTGAAAAATGTTCGCATCCACCCTGAATCTATTTGAACAAGAGGAACTACTGAAGTGTGTGATTAGATGATGTATGTGTCAGTGACCACTATAGGAACAGGACACCTGCTCATATATAAGCTTTACTGGCTAAGCTAGCATAGCTCTTGGTTCTTTTGGTCACTGGTTAGTTTTGGAGCAGAAGATCTCAAGCATGAATGTTACCAATTCCCTCTTGAAGCTGTTTCACATAATACAGACACTAGATCATTACAGAATCTAAGAATTTCTTTTTGAGAGAAAGCGTGGGGATCTTTCCATCAGCTGTCTGCCTCTGAATGAAAAGGAGAGATATCCTACAGTAACGGGCAAGTTTGCTGTATGGAATTGAAATGCCACTAGATCAAATGGCCAGGAATGGGCTACAATTTGCTGAGAAATGAGAGATCCAGTCACTGCTTTAGAGGAGAAGAATCAGAAAATACACATTTCAACTGCCCAATGAAAGACTCAAGGATTCCATGTTCTCTAATAATCATGATTGCTAAAGAAGTGGCACAAGGCCAACAGACTTACACTCCAAATCAGTTACACAGGACAAAGGCCTGTAAAATATTGCAATTGAGGAGTGTTTCTAGGCAAAAGGTTATAACTTTATTTCTTCAACATGAAAGTAACATTAGAAAATATTGTTGTATCTTTAATGTAAACAGAATTATTAAAGGAGAAAACTAAAAGCAGATTAATTTTGTACATTTCTCAAGAAGTCTGGTAATCATCTCTTTCCACTCATCTGCTGACCACTCAATTTGCATAGCTAGAATTTGTTTGTGGGTCTTCCTTGATCACTGAGCACTATCCAATATGCATGTCAGTTTGCCCTCCCCTCCTCCAAAAGCAATGTAGGCCAAATCCAAATATTTAGGTGAGAGGAAGGAAGATAGGGTCTCCAATATTTGAAGTTTAACTTTCCTTTCACTGGTCACCATGCAGATAAATGAACAGTTAAGTTGCCGTGTTTATGTACATGGTGTAAATGGTGACAGGCAACGTTTCAAATCCTGGCTGTTAGATATGGAGCCAGTCTGAGAAGGCTGTTCACCTGATTATGATATAACCAGTGTTTTCCATGGTGTGACAGCCCATAAGCACTCAGAATGGGTCTGCAAGACCCTTTCGGAGAGGATAAAATGAGTAGTACACCCTAGAAGATGGAGAGAAAAAACAGTCTACTGTATACAGAGACCAGGTGTGTTTCCCTTTCTGCCTCTTTTAGGTCTTTGTCTTAATTATCAAGACTCTCTTACAATTCAATACTAGTTTAGTTTGAAATTGTGAGCCACTGGGTAGAAGTTACAATATATACAAACTGCTTGGAAGTACTAGTTGAGTTCCTAATAGATGCCCTCATTACAAAAACCACCACCACAATTGGCACTACTTGGCTTCCATTCTCACAGCCTCAGCACAGAGCGCAAGGACTGAATGGAGACTCTATCCCCTTATCCCCGGAAGAGTTGGTCTGCCTGGGTCATAGTTTGAGGCATACTGCAAGGGCGGGGGGAAAGAGGAGGCTTGCACTGCTGCTACCCAGGCCATAACTGTTCTGAAGACAAATCCAGGACTACCAATGTAGCATCCTTCATCAGAATCAAATTCATTTTTAAAGATTTCAAATTAAAATTGTACACCCCAAGTACACTGCTGTTGTGTATGGATACGCACCTCTGTCTCATTGCGAGGTACCGGAGGTCTACGCTCCCTTTGACTGCAAGGCCATAGTCCTGAAGTAGCTTGCAAGAATCTTCCCAACATCCGACCCCAACTTTTAATATAGTGCTATCTGCCAAGATGTCCAGTAAAGACTTTGGGACAGTCTGTCCACTGCTGACCAACCTGGGCAATCGAACAAGAATGCAAAAGCCACTGGAAGAGGCCATCTGTAAGAGGGATACAGGACTGGCCTTTCCTTCCACTGACACCTGAAACCAAAGAACCAAACAGCACTGGCGTTAAAGTATTAGTGTCTGGGTACAGAATAAACCACAACAGAATCATAGGCATTACAGACAGAAAAGACCTATTAAGTGATCTAGTCCAGCGTTTCTCAAATGCAGCCACCAGGGCCTTTTCTTGCGGCCACAGCATGCTGGGCTGTGGTTGGGAGGGGGCAAAGTAGTGGCCCCTCCCTCTCCTTGGTGCTCCTGGATGCACTGCCTTGGTGTTGGCTGCTGGGGCTGGGCCCTGCCCAACTCTGGAGACACCTAGGGCACAATGCTGGAGGAGCAGGCAGCCAGTGAGTTCCCCACCTTCCCAGGGGCGGTGAGGCTTAGGCCACAGGGCTCCAGGCTCCAGCCGCGTAGCTGCAGGCCCCATCCTCCGGACACCGGGCTTCAGGCTCCAACCCACTCACTGCCTCCCCTGGCTCCCATCCAGGGCTTAATTCGTCCCCAGGCTTGCCAGGGCTGAGCAAGTCTCACTTTTCACAGCGGATTTGTATATTCGTTAATATCACTTTTCACAAGAGACTTACTAGCTAGCAATAAATAAATTACAATGATTTGGACCTGTATATGTGCATATTTATTTGTTTTTCCTAAAGCTAATTAAGTATTTTAGAGAAAAGTGTGAGAGCAGCCACCAGCAAGAGTTGGTGGCTGCACTCTGAGGCCACCAAATAATTTATCCTGAGAACCCCAGTCCACTGTAGCATTGTTTCATACAGTATATTCTCTAGTGCAGTATCAAGTCTAATTTTAAGAGACACAAGCAATGTGGCTTCCCCCATTTTCCTTGGGTGACTATTTCACAGCCTAACAGATCTCACCATTCAGTCCTTTTTTCCCCCTTAGCTTAGTTAATGTATGCAGTGTAGGTGAAATTCACCCCTCAGAAGAGGGCCAGGCTTAGTGTGCAGTGTAGACATACTCAAAAAGGCCTGAGCCTCCAGAATCATAGAATCATAGAATATCAGAGTTGGAAGGGACCTCAGGAGGTTATCTAGTCCCACCCCCTGCTCAAAGCACGACCAATCCCCAACTAAATCATCCCAGCCAGGGCTTTGTCAAGCCTGACCTTAAAAACCTCTAAGAAAGGAGATTCCACCACCTCCCTAGGTAACCCAATGGTGTTGGCGCAAGAAATATTCAAAGCCTCATCAATTCTCTGCCTTTGCCCTAGGAGGCTGGAGGACAGATTTTCCTTGATCAAACACTTACCCACTCGCAGTCAATCCCAAGGACTGGACACCTCTGCAGCTCCTTTTTCAGTAATGGTTCCACTCGATCCCACTCCTCTGCCTGTGAAACTATCACTATTTCTGCACCAAGGATCTTCTCTACCCAGGTAATGGTGGGAGAACTGACACACGAATGCAACTCCTTTTCCTCCACTTCCGTCAGTTCCTCATCTCCTGACCTTCTTAAAGCTCCAACTTGGTTACCACCACCACAGACCTTTTCTTTCCGACGCTGGCTTACTTTCCACAAAACCAGACCCCCAACTGCAATGCCCAACAGGGTGGCCACAGTAACTGTCACTGCTGTTTGTCTGGGCATTTTTCATCCTCCTCCGCTTCACCCACTCAAAATGGTACTGCAGAATTTTCGTACAGACTGCAACGAAAAAAGCAGGACAGATGAAGAATAGATGTTTAAGAATTCATGGAGGTTAAGTCTGTTAATGGATATTAGCCAGGATGGGTAAGGAAGGGTGTTCCTAGCCTCTGTTTGTCAGAGGGTGGAGATGGATGGCAGGAGAGAGATCACTTGATCATTGCCTGTTGGGTTCACTCCCTCTGGGGCACCTGGCATTGGCCACTGTCGGTAGACAGGATACTGGGCTAGATGGACCTTTGGTCTGACCCAGTACAGCCATTCTTATGTTCTAATTTATTCAAAATTTCTTTAATATAAAATTGAGAAAATCAAACTGCCACTATTCAGACAAAGATCTAAGTACAGCTCAGGATCATAAAGCAATATGGAATTTTTAAAATGTACTGGATTCTACTCAGGAGTAAATCAGGAATCAAAGCAAATGACATACCCTGGAGCATTGGTGTATTAAATGCTAATGAGTCTAAATTCAGGTCTTGGTTACACCAATTACACCAAAATCTAGAGTAATTCCACTCATTTACACCAAAGTAACTAAGAAAAGAATTTGGTCCAGAATCCAGTATTTCTCAAACTTCTGAAAGCTCACGTCCCACTCCTTCAACCCCAACAAGTGCTGCTAAAGGCCCATGCAACTGAAATTCTCATGATATTCTTCTATTTTGATGAGCAACATAATAGTTCACAATGTTGACATTTAAAGCCTCAACACCAGCATCTATGTTATCACCCATTAAAATGATTGGGGCAGTTCACACCTTTGACCTGTTTTTAAAATCAAAGAGAAAACTCCGCAAAACAACTGGGAGGTCCGTCCACACCCCTCCAGACAGACAGGGATGTGCCCAAAGCTTTGGTAAGTGCTGCCATAATGTATGTGTTTGGGGAACAACCATTTGTACTTCATCAGTGAATATATGTACATTAAAAGTACTTCTATGATCTTGTACAGCAGTAATTCATTGGATCCCAACACCTTTCTGCTGGGGACCTAAGGCCTGATCTACACTAGAAAATTAGGTCAGTTTAAGTAAATTGGTCAGGGATGTGAAAAATTCACACCTCTGAGCGGCATTGTTAAAACAGCCTAAATCCCCATGTAGAATTCATCAACCTAGTTACTGCCTCTCAGGGACATGGATCACCTACACCAACGGGAAAACTTCTCCTGTCAGCATAGGTAGTGTCTACACTGAAGCGCTACTGTGGCACAGCTGCACCATATTAAGTGTAGGCATACACTAAGGCCAGGTCTAAACTACAGACTTATATCAATATAACTTCATTGGTCAGGGGTGTGAAAAATCCACACCCGAGCCATGTAGTTATACAACCTAATGTCCAGTGTAGGCAGCACTATGTCGGCAGGAGAGCTTCTCCTGTCAATACAGCTACAACCTGTCTCAGAGGTGGCTTAACTAGACTGACAGAAGCAGCTCTCTCATCAGCACAGGAACGTCTTCACTTAAGCACTACAGCGATGCAGCTGCATCGATGCAGCATTTTAACTGTAGAGCTGCCCTAAGTAATATAGGTCCTGATAGTACAAGGTGAACATGCACCCATATGTAGCCCCACTCACTTCAATGTCCTCCAGTGTAAATAGCCTAATTTTCAGATGGAGTTTGATGAATGGGACCATCTGATGATGCCGCCTACGATGGCAGGGGTTAAACTCAATGACACAGGGTCCCTTCCAGTCCTATGTCCCTGAGTGTGCAAAGCTAAACCTGGAAAGCCACTCATTTGCAGGATGGGGTTCTAATATTCCACTCCTGCAAACAGTTTAAAGCATGTGAGTACCTGCAGATGTGCGTAGCACTGACTTCACTGGAAGGACTCGCGTCCTGCACGGTTACACGTGTCTAACTGTTTGCAGGACTGAGGCCTGTGGCCCCGATCCTGCAAGCCGAACCATGTGGGAGGAGCCAGGCAGCACCATACCCCCCCACCCAGCCCAGATCCGGGGAACAGCTGCACGCATCAGCAGGGAGAGACCAACATGAGACACCCCACAGGCTGCTCTAGACCCCACAAGCACGAGGAGGAAACACCCCCTTGTAAACCCTGCCCTTGGCAGCCGGCCAGCCCGGCACTACCGCAGCCCGGGAGCAGCGCGACACCACCGCGCACACCTGGCGGGGCGCGGGGAGACCCCCCGCGGGGATTCCTGGGGCGGGGCCACATTTGGGGTCTGCAGCGGTGGGATGCCGGGGCTGGGCGCTCGAGGAGGCGCCATCGGCAGCTGGGCGCGGCAGGGAAGCAGCAGCACCATGTTCCAGCAGCCCCGCGCAACGCCCCCGCCCCCGTACAGAGAACCGCGCGTGGGGTTCCGCAGCCATCTCCCTGCCCCCGACCTGTCTGCGCCTGGGCCCGCAGCGGAACACTGGCTTCTCTCCGGCAGTAGGAACCCGCCGCGCTGCAGCCCCCACACCCTGCTGCACCGACGGACGCTTCCGGCGGGCACACACCCGGAGCGCCCGCATTAAGGGACACTTCCGGTCTCCTGTTCCTATAGGGTGGAGCCTCCCGTGTAGCCCGGCATTCTTCTCGGCCTGTGGGCGCTGCCATCTTGTACGGCAAGCGCTGTCCGGCTGGGTAGGTCTGTGCCGGGGCTGCGTTGAGTCCAGTTATCCTAGGGGCTCGGGTTAATACCTGTTCTGTGGTTAAATCAGTGTTGCAAAGCTCCGTGCACGTCATAAGACATCTAGATAAACTTTCTAGTTCATGTTGGAGAAGGGTGACCAGATGTCCCAATTTTATAGGGAAAGTCCAGCTATTTGGGGCTTTTTCTTATGTAGGCACCTCTTACCCTCAACCCCCTGTCCTGATTTTTCACATTTGCTGTCTATGCTGGAGAGCAGCCTGTGGTCATAGGGATGTTGGTACCAACTCTATAGGGGGTCAAAGAGAGAAGTCCAGGTTGTGGAAGCTAAATTTAGATTATTAGATGAAATGCATAAATCCTTGGTCTCTACAGTAACTTTGTCTGAAATACCTCCAGTTCTACATGTAGGGCTGGCTAGGACCATGTCTACAGTAGTGAGGTTAGAGCCACACATCTGTACCGCTGTAAGATCACTCCAGTAGCCACTCTATGCCATCGACATAATTATTAAACCATAATTAAACCACCTCCAATGAGCGGCAGTAGCTATATCGGCACTAGTGTAGATTCAGTTATATCAGTAAAAAGGTATCTTACGATCCTGGAGTATTTGCAGAACTGCAAGAAGAACCGAACGAGTGGGGAACATGATGATTCCTTGGAGGACAGATTGCCATGGGACATAGCGAGAACAAGTTCAAGGTTGTTGGCGGCATTCACAGAGCAGCTGCAGATGGTGCAGCGCTGCTTCTGGATCCAATCGACTGGTTGGATCGCTTTGTAATGCAGGTTTGGAATGACAAGTAGTGGCTGCAGAACTTTCGGATGTGCAAGGCCACATTCCTGGACCTGTGCGCTGAGCTTGCCCCAGTCCTTCAGCTTAGGGACACCAAAATGAGAGCTGCACTGACAGTGGAGAAGTGAGTGGTGATTGCACTGTGGAAACTTGCAATGCCAGATTGCTACTGGTCAGGTGGGAATCCCAGTGGTTATAACTGCCTGCTCTGTCCTGTACAACATCTGTGAAGCAAAGTGGGAAAAGTTGCCACCGGGGCAGAGGGCAGAGGTGCACTGGCTGTCTGCTGAATTTGAACTGCCAGATATAAGGGCTATTAGAAGAGCTCAGTGTAGCACTGAATGTCTTTGAAAGACCATTTTAATAGAGACCAGAGTAATGTGTGTTGTCAAAGTGTGCTCTACCTGGCCCTGCTCTTTTGTGATCTGGAAGGAATCGTGTGGTGACTGCTGAAGGAATATAACATTGTCAGTGCACCTATTAATTTTGTTTCTGAATGATTCTATGAATTGTGTGACACTGTGCAGTAAGAGGTAATTTGTTGATGTCAGAACTGCTGAGCACGCCAAGCTGCTTAGTTTGGGTTAGCCCTACAGGATATATAAAGCTTGCATATATAGCTGCCACTGTTTCCTTTTGGAATCTCTGACTCAAACACATTTGTGTGTGTATGTTTACATGCTTTAACCTTGTAAATAACTCTCTCTTTTTTTTCCTAGTTAATAAATCTTTAGTTAGTTTATTACAGATTGGCTAGTGTTGTCTTTGGCAAGAGCTCTAAGGTACAATTGACCAGGGGTAAGTGACTGGTCCTTTGGAACTGAAAATTGTTGTAATTTTTGGTGTAAAAGGCAGGCTTGCCAGGGTGACAAGATAGACTGGAAAGCCCAAGGGCACTGTCTGGGGCTCCATGTTAAGGCTGCTATAGAGTTTTAGGAGTTCACACTTGTTACTTGGTTGGTGAAATCTAATTATAGAACACACAATCAGTTTGGGGTTTGTGCCTTGTTTCTTGACAGCCTGCCCTGAGGTTGGTACTCATGCTCGTGAGCTACTCCAGATAGCTTGACAGGGGTATACGGAGCTCTCTATGGGCTGCAGAGGAAGGCAAGCCTGGGATTTTTGAATTTACAGGTCCATCAGAGTCTGCAGCATATGTATTTGCTGCCTGATAGGCCCTGTTATGTCCTGGTGCATCTCCCTCTCCTTTTCCTGCTAGGACTCCTGGGCCTTTCTCCTTTCCACTCATTCCTTCTCCAGGGTATCTGCAATGTTCCTCTTCCAAGCCCTGTGCTCACAGTCTGAAGCAGCTCTGATTTACAGGATCTAATTGAATATGTCATCCTGAGTCCTCTTCTTCCTCCTCCTTATCTGGCTCAGGCCTTCCATGGGTGTTAAGTGGGAGACCCTGAAGGCGGCAATGGCAGCACAGCAGAAGATAAAACACACAGCGGTACCATTGTCAGTGTATTCCTTAAGCTGCTGAACTCACTCCCTTGGCTCCCCTGAAGTCTTAGGGTACGTGTATACTTACCTCCGGGTTCGGCGGTAAGCAATCGATCTTCTGGGATCTATTTATCGCGTCTTGTCTAGACACAATAAATCGATCCCGGAAGTGCTTGCCGTCGACACTGGTACTCCTGCTCCGCGAGAGTACGCGGAGTCGATGGGGGAGCCTGCCTGCCGCATGTGGACCCATGGTAAGTACCTTGTAGTTCGAACTAAGATACTTCGACTTCAGCTACGTTATTCACGTAGCTGAAGTTGCGTATCTTAGTTCGAACTGGGGGGTTAGTGTGGACCAGCCCTTAAGCACTACGTTCTCACTTCTGTTTGGGATTGCTTGTGTGTGGCACCAGTCACTGCAATAGCCATGGTAAGTTTGGCCCACCAGGGGTTGGAGAAGTGAGAAGGAAATTGCTCGGGTGCATGATTCTATTAGTATAGGGCAATGGCACTGATTACTGGCACTGTTTACCGCAGGCAGTGGTAATTTTAGCTGATTTCTCACTCCTGAGGGTAACAATGACTGGCATTCTGAAGCCCCCTAGGCCATATGCTGCTAGATTGTGTACTGCAATAGTACCTACTGAGTGGTTATCACTAAGTGGTGTGAGAAAGTGTCTTACCATGGAGGAATAAATAAGGCAACCCTTCCTAGAAACCTTTGGCAGAGAATTGCAGAGTACCTCCATGAAAGTTTCACTAAGATCTCTCGAGATTCAAAGGACATCCCTATGTACATAAACAATGTGCTCCACATGGTCCCCCTGCGTAATTCTAAAGGGGAATGAAAAGTAGATAGCAACTCTACCTCTCTTGGTTTTACCACTACGTCTTCTAGCACAAGTAAATTAATGAAAAGTCAAAAGATGTGTCCTACTACTTTGGGGATACCATCCGTGTAACTGAAAATTCACCTACACACTTACCTGAGGTTTCTTTCCCCTGCATCAGGTTCACCCATGCATGACGGCTGGGCTGCAGTGGAGTCAAAAACAGGTCCTGGCTTGCTGCGCAGCTGGATCCCCTTGTCACCAGTCCCCCATAGTCCTCCTCTTCCTTGTCCACCACCTTCTCCTCCTCACTGTTCATGGCAGGGGCTTGTGACTTGGGCTCTGTGGAGGTATCCATGGTGCTGCGTGGAGGGGAGCTGGGTGCAGGGCTTTAAAGGGAAGCAGGGGTAGGGTGGACTTCCAGTGACATTGGGGCAGTGGAATTCACAACAGTGACCAGAGCGGTCAGTGTGGAGCATTGTGGGGACTGGGAGAGCTGCTGGAGGACAGTTAGGGTCTCTACACTTGTTGACCTAAGTACATCCACCGTGGTTCTATGCCACTCAGGGAGATGGTGTTACTATGTTTGCGTAACAGGGTGCTTATAGTGGTGGGTGACCAATTTGAGTGCAGACATGTGACTGCTTGTAACGGTGCTGCCCGTGGGAGCCAGCTGAGGTCACTCAATCAGGGTGAACTGCAAACAAAACGGGGCAGACAAACCCCAAACGCTGGTGGATATTCCAATACTTAGTTTACCAAGCCAGCACAAAACAGCTTCTATAGTATCTCACTGGTTACTCAGAAGTTCAAACAACGCAGTTCCCTTAAAGTGATCCAGCCTCAGGCCTCCGTCCAGACACACACGTCAGATATGATGATGATTACTGAAAATCTTATCTCATCATATAAAAGAAAAGGTTCTTCCAATCCCAAAGGATCAGCCACACACCCAGGTCCAATTATAACTTAGATCTTACCCAAAATACACGCTTATAGCCAACTCTTATTAACTAAGCTAAAATTTATTAAAAAAGAAAAGAGAAAGAGTGTTGGTTAAAAGATCAATATACACACAGACTTGAATTCAATTCTTGAGGTTCAGATACATAGCAGAGATGAGCTTGTAGTTGCCAAAAGTCCTTTTAGAAATAGTCCATAGGTTATAGTTCAATGTCCATATTCAGGGAGACTCCAGTCAGTGACTGGGGATCTCAATCCTTATGGCTTAAGGTTTCCCCCTCTTGAAACCCAAAGCAGATCTGAGACGAAGCAGGATCGTGTCCCAGGGTTTTAATACATTTCCAGCAGCCTTTTGACCTGAGAAAATAATAGGCTTAACTCTCCTTCTTCCAAACATCCTGGCAATTAGCACAGGGTAATTTATCCATTAAACAGTTCAGATACAGGTTACCACAACCTTCAAAGAGACATATAGACAATAATATTATTTCACTCAAGTATCTTCCTAAATGTTAATATTCCTTTTTCGATCTTTGAATCAAAGTTATAGCAATAGACAAGACTTGTTTGCTTATATCACAAGACCTGAGCAAACACCTACCCTTCTACCTCTAACAATACAGGCTTGCATTTCAAAGCTCTATTCATTTACATATCTTCCTAACCAGTTTCTAAAGTTCGGCCATGGGTCAGGTCAGTCTGTGAGTTAATTAACTCTTTCTGGCCCTGTCACCGATCAATGAGATGTTATATTACACTCATAACGTCACACTGC